GACAGTGTTGGGTACTTTAGTTCCATTGTCTGAACCATATAAAAATAGTGGCCTCCTCAGTCTTCTCTTATCGCATTCTCTTTCCATTCTAATTCTTGGCGTGATGTCACAAAACAGATTTGGGGGGGAGGAGGGGAATAGGGAGAGGTAGGTAAAAGGCTATAAACTTTCAGTCATAAGATGAGTAAGGTCTGAGGATCTAACGTATAACACAGTGATTATAGTTGATAACATTCTTGGATGATTGAAGTTTGATAAGAGAGGAGAAGTCAAATGTTCCCACTAGAAAGAAAAAAAGATAGTTAAATATGTGAGGTGATGTATATGTTAATTAACTCAGTGGGGAAGAATCCTTTCAAAATGTGTACATATATCAAATCACCATGAGGGATACTTGAAATATCTTACAATTTTATTTTTCAGTTATACCTCAGTAAAGCTAGGGAAAATAAAGAAGAAAGTTCTGAGCCACATTTAGGTGAAAATAGCATTCTATTCTTTACTACCCAGATTCAAATTAGTCCTCCAGTCCCTGGAAACTGATCCATTCATCCAACTTACTTAAAGATTAGTCATCTACTATGTGCCAGGCAATGTTTTTGAACAGGAAACACAACATAAATGATGCACAATTTCAGTCTTTAAAGAATTCAAAATATATTGGGAAGACTTACCAAAAGATGATGACAATACAGTGCAATTGCTATGACAGGGGATGTGCAAAGGTCTGTGCGAGCCTAAAGCAGAGAGCCTTTGGGAACAGCACCCCTTGGGGAAATGACTTCACAGAGAAGGTAACATTTGAGCAGTCGTATCAGGTCTGCTTGATGTGCTTCCAACATGGAGGCAGGGTACAGAGGGGGGTTCCAGAAAGAGGACAGTTAGTGCAGAGATCTTAAGGACAGAACAAGCACGTTCTTCTATGACTGGAAAGAGGAAAATAAAGGGAGGGGGGCGGAGATAAAATGTTGGAAAGGAAGGACGAGGACTAATGTATGAAGGGTCTTGGTTATCTTTATGAGGAATGTGAAATTGTCTTGTAGGCAGTGGAAAAGCAAAAAAAATTGAAGCAAAGACAATTACAGGAAGTTGTCCTTGCAACCACTGTACATTTTTTCCCGTGTATCCCCTCTAATTTCATCCTGTCTTCTCTTAAGTCATGTTCTTAAATTCCTTTAAACATACGCAAGTAATAATAATCTCTTATATTTGATATATTGGAGTCTGAGGTCTAATTTGATTAGGACCCTTACCTCCATTCCTATTTATCACCATAGGAAGCATAGGAGAAGACACCCCTCTCCCCTGGGACTCTAATTCCCATAGGACTTCTACATTGCTGTCTCTCCCTCCATTTCCTTCCCTTCTCTATCTTCTGAAACTTTAGAGAAGTTTCAAGTCAATCATTAGCAAAATCCCCTTAATAATCAACTTATTTTGAGACTATTTCCTTTGGGTTCTTTTTTGTAGCTAACACTGGTCTCTCCATTGATTATACTCTTTCTCTTACATCCTTCTGTTTTCTCCTTCTACCGCCAACGGCTGGAGTCATGGTATATGTCCTGCCTTATTTCTTTTTAATGGTACTTCAAGATTATTCTCCTTTCCTCCTCCATCAAAACTTCAAGTTTTGACTGTGATTTTGTCAAACTGTCTCTCCTTGCTATAATCCTCTACTAGTTCTCAAGTCATTTTCCCTCCTTCTTTGATGATCTCATTTCCTGGTTCAGTCCTACTCTCAACACTATTCTTGTTTTTAATTCTCGGTGATCTCATTGTTGATGTAGAAAATTTTGCCAGTGTTCTGGGCTCTTAGATATTGAGTCTCCTCTCCAATTTCATATTCCATCCCAACTCAGAGACTCACTTCCATGGGTATATCCTTGATATTGCTCTTACAAATCGCAATTTTGAATATCTACTGTGACTATCACTGAATATTTTTCTAGCTCACTCCTGCTAATATCATGACTAAAAGCACAAAAACAAAAAAAAACCTTTGACACACTTCAGAATTTAAGAGTTGATCTTAAATTGATCTTACCACCCTTCTTCCTCATCCCATGCTATTCCTTCCTTCCTTACATGACACAAATACCATGGCGAAGTCAAAAATTACTCCCTTACATATACCCACAGCTCCTTTGTCTTTCCCTCTGCTTTTCAGTTACCTAGAGATACCAAAAGTCTGGTGAAATCAATACCTCTACTTTGATATCTGCATACACACCGCCAAATAAGGCTGAAGAAGGACGACATAGCGCATAATGAAGCCAATCTCACTTTAAATTCATGATCATGAATGCTGCCTGACAATTATCCGATATTTCCCTAGTCCTCTCCTTACAACTGACCTATTTAAATATTTCATACATTCTTCTCTCTTTTTCCTATTATTCTCTCAGTTGATGAATATTCCTGTTTCACTAAGCAAATTAAAGCATTCAGAACTTAACACTCAAAAAAAGGAACTCTTGGTTTTGCTTCCTACCTCTCACCTCCACCAACACAAAAAGCAACAAAAACATGTTCGTCCTATGGTTTTCTCCATCTCAGTGAATGGCAACTTCATTCTTCTAGGTGTAGGGCCAGAAAACGTGGTGCTGTCTTTGATGGTTTTCTTTGCTCACACTTTGCTTCTTGTCCTTTAAGAAACCCTGTGATTGTCCTTTCAGTATATGTGCTGCTGAAGTGAGCACTGTGATTCTCCTTTCAAAATATATCAAGAATGTTATGCTTCTGTCTACCTCATTACTTCCGCTTTGGTCCAGGTGACCAGCACTTTTGCCTGAATTATTGCACTACCTTCAGAGATTGAATCATGCTGCTCCCTTTGTCCACTGTGCTTGATTCTCGAGAGCAGTCATGAGAGTGGTCCTGTTTGAAATGTAAGTCGGGTTATGTCCCTCCTGTACTCAAAAACTTAAAATTATCCCCACCACAGTCAGACTAGAAGCCCAAACCATTACTGTTATTTAAAATTCCATACATGTTTTCATCTCTGACTTCATCTTTTCTCTGCCTTACTATTTCTCCTTATCATTTATCACTGTGTCACATTCTGTATATTTTACTTTTCTATCTTGATTCTTTCCAGTACCCATTAAAATGTAAATGCCATAAGGACAGGGATTTTCATATGTTTTGTTCACTACTATATTGCCAAAGCCTAGATCAATGCCTCACTCATAGTAGGCATGCAGTAAAAGTAGTGGAATGAATGGATGATTTAATGAATGAGATTGTTTTCACATGGCTGCATTATCTAATCTGTTGTGCATGCTAATACTTTTACAGTTGTGTGATTTACTGTAGTAATTCAAAGGATGATCTCTAATCAGACTCAGAGAAGTTTTGAATTTCATCTGCACCTTGCTACATGAATTTGCAAATTGCATTTAATGCCTCCAAGTCTTGTCTTCTCATTTTTAAAAAATGGACATCATAATAGTAACTGACTCAAAGGATAATTTAAGAATTAAATGAGAAAATGCAGGTAAAATGTTCAAAATATCCAGGGCAAAGTTAGCAAACTTTTAATAAATCTAGTTAATATTTTTTAATTAAACCTAATACATATTATATTATTTTTCTTTTTGTGTCTTCATTTGCACATTTAAGTAATTTTATAAGTGGAGAAGATAAGCTCTTTGAGATTGGAAATGTTAACTTCTATTTCTTTTTAAACCCTTCCAATTTGTTTCACACCAGTATTTAATCGTTGTTCTTTGAGAGTCAGGCTCCTGAAGTGTTTTGAATGGCTCATTTTCAGTATGCTAAGGTCATATGATGAAGCAGCCCCATGGTTTTCATCCATTTTTCTATGACAGACTACGCTGGAGTAGGAAAAAAATGTTATGTACTCAGCTTTTGTGTAAAAAACAAGACAAAACAGAACAAAAGCCTCTGAAGGGAATTACCATAGTGCATTATAAAAATGTTTGAAGAGAGTTTTCCTAAAAATGACACTCAGGGAGTTCATTGAAATCATCTGCAGTTCATCTGTGCAAAACTTTACACTTCATGTTCAATCATTTTAAACTTTCCACTTAGGAACATAACCCTTAGAAGTCTAATAGTCCCAACTGTTGGATGCTCACATAGTTTAACTAAATTTTTAGAATTAACAAATATACATGTAGGACTGGCTCTTTTGCTCATGAGTTTAATTATGATGATCCAGAAGGGGGCAACATGTAGGGGTCATCAGCAGGGCTGTGACAGCACAAAGCTTCTCTGAGAGTCTGCACCAAACAGACTTCACTGTGCAAGTTTACCACAGGTGGGAGAGATTTTTTTTTTTCTTCCGTGAGAAACAGCCACTCTAAATAAATATATTTTGTTCAGATTGCGTATGAGTTGATTAGAATTTGTATTCACAAAGCTAGGACTAGAATCCTGGTTATTATGACTGCTAGCCTATGACTTTTATTTTACACTTCCGTATTCCTATATTCTAGGCTAATTTAAAGAAAAGCCTTCATCTAGGAGTTAAAATAACCTTGAGTTCTAGTCACACCTCTATAAATGCAAAGATCTGCTGTTCTTGACAAGACTTGTTCACCTTTATGCCTTAGTTTACTCACCTGTGTAAAAGTAGGGATTGTGTCTGCCCTGTATTTTTTACTGCTTGTTAGCATTATGTGCGATGTAAAGATATTTAAAAGTATATTACATACTTTCTAGTCAGAACGATATTTCAACAGCAGTAGTAGCAGTTTCTGATGCTCCTGCTCTTTCTTCCACTTTTAGTCTTTGTTCTTTCCATTCAGTTTCTAAATTTCTGTGACTGCATTAACATCACCTCCCACCCCCCACCTTTTCAGAAATAGCGCATTGGATTTTGCCAGTAGAAAATCCAATGATAAAATCACACTGATAGTGAAATAAAGAGCTCCTCCTCTTTTTCTTGGGTGAAATTTTGATAACACCAAATTGTCCTTTCCAATTCTGTACTTGGATATTAGTTACAATAGCATCTTTTCTTCTCATTTTCACAGGAAATGACTTATTTCTTGTAGCAGTTCACGAACTGGGACATGCTCTGGGATTGGAGCATTCCAATGACCCCACTGCCATCATGGCCCCATTTTACCAGTACATGGAAACTGACAACTTCAAACTACCTAATGATGATTTGCAAGGCATCCAGAAAATTTATGGTAGGTTACCACTGTTTTTGTTTGGTTAACCCTACAGTGAAGTCCAGGATTCCTGCTGTTATTCTTCTTTGAGATGGATGCTCTAAGTATACGAGAGAGATAAATACTGAGAATTAAGAAAAAAATAGTCTGGCCTATTGGCAGAAGTCTTATATCAATTAAGTTTTGTTGGCAGTAGTCCAGATATCTTAATATACAGATTATAGTAAATCTACACACTGATTAATTTTTCTTACTGAGTTTAATTGAAACCTGCAGTTACAGCAAAGATCTGACAAACTTTTGTATTTAAAATCCAGGTAAAAAAATATAATAAATGAATATAACCAATAAAAACAGTGAGAAATATAAGATCTTCTTATAAGATACTGAGATTTTGGTAAAAACTGACAGATTGACCCTCAGTTTATGATGCTTGATGTTAGTCAGTTACGGGATAAATCACTGTTGAGGTTGCAGAACATACTCTTGTGTAATGGCTATAATAAAATGACCTCAAAAGCATGTAATTATTGACTAAGTGAAAGTTAACAAACATGGAAGTGGAAGTTAACAAATGGCAAAGTTTACTTACACCTGATTCAAAATAAATTTCTAATATACTAAGATCATTTTTATTTATGGGGTTCAGTCAGTGAATACAAATTAAGACAAAAGGGAGAAAGACTATAATCCTAACTCCCTCAACAGAACCACTGACCTTTATAAAGACATTTATTTCACACATAATTGTTAAGAACTTGACATTTATAATTTACATATAGAGAGTATGCTTTACTAAATTAGTGAAGTGATGCTTTCATTTTACAATACAGAGGCAAATGTGTGTTATCTGTATGTTAATATCCAGTATCCAGAAGGTGTCTTTTGCATTTTTAAATAGCATAGTTTAAGTTCACTAATTTGTATGGCATTCATTAGTTTTTCAATTTCAATATCTCAATGGTAACCATTCTCTCAGGGTTAAAATAGGATTTGGAGGAAAAAAAATGTCAACTTTTGTGCTGCTCTTTATTTTGGGGATACTGAGAAAAGGGAAATGTCTCAGACTCAAAGCTAAGTAGCACATGTGTCGAACGTACTAGTCTATGCCTAATTTGTGCCATCAGAAATTCCTCCTAAGTGGGTAACTGAGGTTAAGGAAGGCTCTTTCTCATGACCTCATGAATTAGTAGTCTAGACTGAAGGTCTGCAAAAGAATATTCTTCCCATATCTAAATATTAAGTGTGAACAGCTCTGTATTTCTTTTTAAAAACATGAATTCCTTGAGGAATAATGCTTTACATCTGTACCAAATTATATGTGTAAACTTTGGCTTAATTTAGAAACCTCTTTTTAGAAATACTTCTTCACATTAATATTTTACTAGTGGCATTTTAATCAATAGGTGTTTTAGATTCAGTATTCAAATGAAACACTCATCTAGCAATTTGTCAAAACATGTCATTAGAAGAAAATAATGAAAGTCAGGAAAAGGTTATAAATACATTTGGAGACACAGGATAGAATAAACTTTGATTCGTTAATGTTTATCCTCTAGAACTATTTGCAAAGAATCATTGTCTATCAAAACCTAGGATTAACTTGGGTGAAGCTTACATGCATGGTTCCAGTATTCATCTTCATTTATGTATTATTTATACACCTCCTATTTCCAAAAAAGATTTGAAAGCAGCTTTTCCAATAAAGACTCTGGCGAAGCTATAAAAAATATCATTAAAAATTAACAAAGAAAGTTCAGGGACTTGGATTCAGAACTTAGCATGATAAGGACTTTCTGAGAGACTTGGCAGTGGTATGTTGGGTACGATGGTTTGTTTGTTCAGAAAACATACAATCTTAAAGACTTCTTAGCTCACTTAATCTGTGCCCTCCCCTCATGAGTGATTGTCCTTGGCAGCAGACTGTCCAGCACTGTTCCAGTGTTAAGTGAGCCAAGTGCTTTCCTCATATTTTCAAAGGTCCACCTGACAAGATTCCTCCACCGACAAGACCTCTACCGACAGTGCCCCCACACCGCTCCATTCCTCCAGCCGACCCACGCAAGAATGACAGGCCCAAACCTCCTCGGCCTCCCACTGGCAGACCTTCCTATCCTGGAGCCAAACCCAACATCTGCGATGGGAACTTTAACACTCTAGCTATTCTTCGCCGGGAGATGTTTGTTTTCAAGGTAGGAGGCTGTGATTTTTTTTTTTTTAACGGTAGATCAAGTGTCTACGGTGTCGCTTTAGAAAACAAGTTCTCATTCATTCTCACACTACCTTCCCAGACCTCTCACAGTTAGAAGTTTCAAAAAAGCATCTTAAAAAATAAACGCACAAATGGGCTTAAATGTCTAGCAGAAGATTGCTGTAACATTCTATTTGAGGAATGCATTTATGTCAGCAGAAGCTAAAATGCCTAGAAATGTGAGGGTAAGAAAATGCTGCATGTTACGAACAGATAAAAAAGCATAATTGAAATCATGAATAGGAACTAATAGGGATGATTTGCTTGGGAGCTTAGCCACTTCCAGGCGTGCTAGAGCTATTCTATCTTTGATTTGCACATCTTTATGAGATCCCTATGATTTCACTTGACAATTAAAGCATTGTTTTTTAGAAGTAGTAGTGATCATTTTGTTTGGGGTCTACTGGCAGGAATTTGAGTTAATATGAAACCATCATTTTGATTTTACAAAAGTGTATGTCATTTTCTTTAGTCAGACATTTATATATACCTGATTTATATTATTTTTTAAGAAGGTTACAAGTAAAACTAACATTACATTTTGCTAAGTGTGCCTTTTAATGTCATTGGGTTCTCAGACAACACTAACAAGCAGTGTATTAAAGTAAGTTACATAATGAACTTACAAAGTAAGTTTAATCTAATGTTGAAAGGTGAATATAGTGTAATAGTGAAAAATATTTTCTCCCTCAATATTGTAAACTGATCTGAAAAACTGGTGAAAAAATATAAGTATTATGTTGGCATTAGCATATTAAAATAACCACATCTTAGCAATACCATCCGTTTAAAAAGAAAATAATGTGCTCTCTTTTGGGTAGACGTGAATCAATAAATAATGAAATATTGTCCTACTTATGCAGAATTTCCTATCTACCAGAGGCTACACTTTAAAAATATAGATTTCATATAATTTTTAATAGACAAAGTACTCTATTTCCTTTATTGGAAAATAAGATTTGGATTTGATATAATATGCACAAGAGCATCATACTTTCCAGGAAAAATCGATGCTTTTGTTCAAACACATGAATAGATTTTTGAATTCTGTAAATGCTCTGCAATGCTTAATTAGATATCTCCCATTCAATTTAAGTAGATTAATAAATTTAGATTCAAGGAGTAAAAAATAAAAGCTCTCTCTCTCTCTCTCTCTCTTTCTCTTTATATATAGCCACTCGTTGTGGCTCAGCCCATAGCAACTAGTTGAAATGAAAACAAAATGCAGTCATTTGTGTATTCTACAAGATACTAAATGACATTTGAAGGATTTTGTTTTCTCTGTTTTGGCCAAATTCCAACATCCCAGCTTTATAGCTTGATATCATAGTCATATCAACAAAGTGATAAACTTATCTGAGAATATGGTGTGAAATGGACTCTGGGTACATCCTTTCCATCCTTCCTAGCTGTCTAACTGGCCGATCTCAGAAAAGACTGATATCTTCAAGTGTAACAATCATTTTCACCAGCCATTCTGCTCTGCACACTGGGAGTGTTCTTGACTGACAAAATGAGGTCTTGTGATCACTGGTTCCTGGAATCAGGAATGGATAAAAAGCACATAGACCAACTCTCAAGTAGAATACAGTAGCCACTATTAATATCAGAACAGGTATATGAGAAATATGAGTAAGGTCTGCTTCTCTAACCTCTCATGTTACCTTGGCTTCCTTAATCAAAATTCTATTGGAGAGGGGCGCCTGGGTGGCTCAGTCGTTGGGCGTCTGCCTTCGGCTCAGGTCATGATCCCAGTGTCCTGGGATCAAGCCCCACATCGGGCTCCCTGCTCGGCAGGAAGCCTGCTTCTCCCTCTCCCACTCCCCCTGCTTGTGTTCCCTCTCTCGCTGTGTCTCTCTCTGTCAAAAAAAAAAAAAAACTCTATAGGAGAGAGTTCCGAAACTCTGTCTGAATAATTTCTTTTTTCCACTGGTCCCTGCCCTCTTTCTAAGAATAATTACTGTTGAGGATATCTTCTGATAGGCATTGCATTCTTTTTAATCTCCACTTACTTGATGGATTTTGTATGACATGACTTGATAATTTTCATACTCATCTCCTCTTTCGTAGAATGCCCAGGGTGGTTTACTAGGCACCAGGGATATATGAATAGAAGGTAGTATCCCTGTCTTTATGGAGCTCATATTCCAGGAGTGAAGACAAACATGAATTTAAGTACTTTCAAGATGTAGGAGTAAAAGGTACAACATGGACATGAAGAGAAAGTACTGAAGTCTAGTTGAATAGTTCCAGAAAACTTGACTGAGAAAAAGCTTATGCTGAATTTTGAGAGAAAAATTTCTTAGGCACATTAAAGAAATTGGTATTTGGTGTACTAAAAAGTTGGTGTATTGAGGGAGAGAAAATAGATATATTAACTCTAGTGCAAAGTGACAAATTATATAAATTGGAAATAAACAAGAAAGCATGATTGAGTGATACCTGCTCTTAATTAATAGCTACTATGGATTGGGTAACTAATATGTCCCTAAATGTATCTGGGCACTTTACATCCATAATCTCTAAATCTGATAATAACTCTGCAAGATGCACAGAATTCTCTATTTTACAAATGAGAAAACTGAGAATCAGAAAAGTTAAGTAGTTAGTCTGAGTTACAAGGTTTGTAAGTGGTAGTCGGTAGATAAACACAGGTCTACTTGATTCTAAAATCTGTGTTTTTCCCACTAAGCTTTGTTACCTGAAAGAGTAAGGGAAAGTTCAAATGAAAGGTGGCAGGCTTTAAACTATATCTTAAAATAATAAATATGCAAGAAATATTTATTGAGCTCCTACTGTGAGATGTTGTTTTAGGCACCGGCCATGTGTTAGTAAACAAAACAGCTAGACCCTGGCTTCTTGGAGCTTACATTCTAGCTTTCAAAGTGCTTCACACAGAGGTTCTCCATGGGTCACTGGACTATGTGGGAAAGCATCCACACATTCTGTTTTCCTTTATTAATAACTGCTGGCCCACTAAGTTATCCCTTTATACCTAAATAGACTAGACTAACTTTACCTCAAATTAATGTCATTTCCCCATACGTGTTCTACTTGCCTGAAATTACTCTCTGCCAGTCTCTCTTGTGCATGCCTGCCTTTTAAATTTTCTTTTACTATACTCATCATTAGTTTCATAGTTTGCTCCTTTATCAACTATTCCTTCAAGTATATTTTAGGATCACCCACTCTTTGATCTCACTTTTACTAATGTAACTTGATTCTCTACTTTTCTTCACTACAGATTCTCTACACAAATTAGAAACCTCTTTATCTCCTCAACCTTACCCACCCAACACTCATTTCACTGTGGTTTTAATATCTGGGGCTTCCTTGCAACCTCTGCTTATCTAAAACTTCCCTCCTCAATGTCTTCCACATGTCCCAACCTCTCTGACTATTCTTCAACCCCAGATCTCTTTCTAGTGATTTCTATATTTATTCTCTACATTCAATTAGCATATTTTAAATTTCTATCTTCTCTATTTCTCATGGTAGTACATTCCTTAACTAGATTATAAACTTCTTCAAAGCAGGGATTGGTTCATTTGGGCTTCATAATGCTCAAGCTAATGAATAAGGATCTCAATATAAGAATTATCTAATGAAAGTAGAACTACTATTTTGTTTATACAACAGTAATCAACCAATATGACGTTACTGAAAATATTTCATTCTGCTCGTTTGTTATTCCTTGCCCAAAGATTTCCGTATGCTTTACTTAAAATCCATATGTATGTTTTTACTTAAATTCTGAAAATCTAGATATAAGTAAAAGGTAATATCATCAGATAATTTTGTTTTCTTATTAGAAAGGAACTTTTCTTTAGAATGGTTAGTTGTAGCCTAATTCTTTTTAGGAGCAAAATTCCTCTTCAGAGATTTGATTTACATTGAGCTTTGCAGACACTCATTTATTTGAAGTGAGTTCACCTGGACATGTATCTAAATGGAAATATAACAAGCATTACATATATATAATGTACAACATATATTTTAATTATGTGTGTGTGTGTGTGTATTTCTGTCCCATCCTATAGATAAAATCCTGAATATATTCACATGAGAAAGTTAAGCCTTCCATGCAGCTTCATAATCTTTGGGGAACATAAACCATCTAAAGCAAGAAAATGAAAATCAAAACAAAATGCCAAGGAACAGAGGAATAAAATAGTGATACAAGAGAAGCTTTGTCCTTCCTCAAAAGAGGTGATTTTTAAGAGTGTTCCCTGCAGAGTTTATACTGTGTATATCACAGGAGGTTGCTGTTGTGACCAAGCTGACAACAGGAAGATCTGACTGTTCAAATGAAGACTCAAAGTTCTTTGGGACTACAAGATAAAAATATGGACTATTTAGCTATTTTGTGGTGTAAAAGAAAGCGGAATTAGCCAAACTTGTATAGGATATGTTTCAGCACACAATATTTTGTTATATGGGAAAGAACGCAGTAGTAACTCTTCTTCCTGAAATTGAAGATAGGAAGAAAAACTGTATCCACACCTGCAGTTCTTTTAGCATGTGCAGACACGTGTGTGTGCATGCACACACGCTCACACACACACACACACACAGGAGGTTTCACTTGGCAACTGACCAGTTCTTTAAATCAAGGGGAACAAACAAAGGCCAGTGCTTGACAGCAGAGCCGGAAAGAATAGTGTTAAAAGTCACTTTTACACTGTTTCGTGGAACAGCATTCACGGAAGTACAGTAAAGTGTCTTCCCAATTAGTAGAAAAGAAGGCTTAAGGCTCTGAGTAAGGAAAGCATTTCATCGTATACCAAGAAAACCACAAAAAAAAAAAAAAAAAAAAAGAAAGCAAACCAACCCAGAAATCACTTGGTTCTTTTTTCTTTATCAAATTCTTGTCTATTCATGTTTATTCATCACAAAACTATGTGTTCTTAAATATGACCATCTTCACTTATGACTACCTAC